AAAATAATAATTTTTTTAGCCCATGATGAGCCGACAACTTGGATCCCTACACCGATCAAATTCCCACCCAACGAACCTCACCACTCCAATCCCAATAATACCACTTTTTGCTTTTCCGCCACCCGATTTCCCCACCAGTAATGTAACATCCGGCATGAATTCCGATACTAATTCACACATCTCAGTTTTATACTCCATCTCACAACTCAATAACCCGAATATTGAAACCCCCGATGAATTTGCCGACTCTGAACCATCTCCATCAAATAATTTTCACACCAATTCCTCAAATTTTTCCCAACCCCCTTTTCAACCCATACTACCAAATAACCCTGTCCCAACCAATTCTACACCCTCTTATGCTTCCCAAGTCACTCCAACCTACTCCTCACTTCACTCAGACCAATCATCTCATTCTCCAGACACCCCCCGAATCTCCCCAGAACTAGATAATTTCATTACCCTACAACAACAACCCTACCACCTTGACACCCCAACCATAAACCAAATCTCATCCACAATAGATTCATCCAACCCTCCTACCCCTACACCCTCTTCAATTTATACTGAATCATTAGCACCATCATCCACATCTACTGAATCTTCACTCAGCACTAATAGAGCTTACCGCACTTTTAAAAGAAAGTTCCCCAACCATCCTTTCCCAGCGAAACCAGGAACAGCCCGTGAATATATCAACCATCCAAAACACACTAACACAAAAGAATTTTTAGCTATCACTTTACCCTCATTTCCACAATACACCTTAAACACCCCTCACGACACTAACGAGACACGTAACTTTGTAGACGAACACGTTTTAATGCCTACCCTTCCTTGGACCTCATATTATCATTTTACTAATCCCCTTTGCTTACCTTTATCTAACACTCACATCGATATAGAACGAAACAAGGACATGCTATATCGACTCACTACACCACTAACACCTAGACAATTTACTTACATTGGATATAAAAAATCACTAAAAACACACACTGCACCCCGAGCTAATGAATATACACTAGAATATTACGATCATAACATCATCAGAACTAACCAAGATCAATTCTTAGACGACGATCGCTTCGCTAACCCACAAATCACCGAGAAATTTTTCATTAAAACACCATATGTATTTACACTAAATATCTTCGATCGCAAGTTTGACCACATTATTTCAGAAGCACTAACAGACACACAAGCCTACGAAAGTTTTAAAGAACGCTTCCAAATATTTTCACTAACCTTTCATTTCCTTGCACCACATGAAAGAGATTTGCACTGCTCACACGATATTATGTTGCGCACTAAACAAACACACACATATACTTATTATCGTTTCATCCAAAATCACTTTGACCTACACACTCCCTCCAGACAACCACACCATCGTTTTCAATTCATCAATTCCAAATACACCTCACCATTCTTTCTTAACTTCACATATTGCATTAAAGATACTAACCTTCATGGTATTCTTCGAAATTATGATCCCATAACCCAAATGTATATTTTTTGTCCCATCACCAAGACCTTCAACGCAGAAGAATCCCGACCCTTCCTTATCCCACACGAGTTTGTACAACCTATAGAAATCCCCATTTTAGAATTCATCGATAACACTAAATTCAATCAAAAATTGTATAATCTAATCCAAAACACACCTTATGAATTTGCAGTTGGCACTGAAGAACTAACCACCATTAAAGCACTTCAATTGCTTTGGCCACTACTTCAAACTAAAAATATCATCTGCATTTTAGCTAAATTACTAACAACTTCAGATCTCATCCACGACATCTTCCCCCACGGTTTCTTCCCCGACGACTAACAGGTAAGTATGAATTATACATATTACTAACTAATTAAAATGTTAGAAACTCACCATTCTTTATCCATGTTTTCTTTAGAATTTTAGCCTTCATCCAACGATCATCTGAAAAATTCACAAAAGAAAAATAAAAAATAGCAAACTTCTTCAAAACTGTTTAAAACCCTATTAAATTTTTGCACCAACAATTAAATAAATATAATACCAATGCAGTAATTTAATTTATAAATTTTTCCCCCACAAGCAGTAAATCTAAAAATGATGAAAATTTGTAACTTAATTTTCCCCAACAACTAGCAGTAAAATTAAAAATTCTATGTAATAAATTGATAAAACGAAAATGCAGTACTAACCTTTTGATATTTCCATTCATTCGCACAAACATTCTATCCACACTCGCACAGCTCGCCCACGAAGAATTGTTTAAAATAATGAATTTCAGTTTCAAGCTTTCACACTCGATAACTCTAACACAAGATAACACGTTTCAAACTTTCCGTTAACCCGGTTGGAAAGGAATTATACACTAAACAACACTAACCAACGCAGCTTACTAAACACCACAAATCATAGAATAACAGCATGACTAAGAAAAGGAAACCAACGGTACCCAAACCGGATTAACCCAGTTTAAAACTGGATAATTTATTCTTTTGAAGACTATTATAAAGTCTAAGAAAGAAATAATAAAACACAAAAAAGTCAAAAGACAAACCCATACCACAAACAATTTGATTTTTGAAAAAAGGACACAACCAACAAGACATAAGAAAAACCACAACAAACCCAACATAAAACGTTGTCACATAACAGGACCTCTCACAAAAACCGCATGCAATCATACTCCCACTCCTGGCCTAACCCACCAGGAAGGACGTCCTGAGCATGCTCTATAGCCGGCCTAACCCACCGCGCTACATTCACGCTTTGTGACACACACTCCTATTTTTAATAAGAGCTACTCAAGGGTGAGTAACTCTTCAAAATAACTGAACTAAAACAAAAAGCTTTTGTGAAAACAACTAACTAAAATCATAATTAAAAAATATTAAACTAATAAAAGTTTTATAAAATGTAAATTACATTATGCAATACATAGATCAGAATACAACACCAAGGACGAACATCCAAAGACAAAACGACCCTACTACACTCGAGAAAGAATGGCCAACTACAATCAATATGCCACTCACAATCACAACTCAAAGGATTTAGAGTACGACTTGACTTCGCAGAAAAGGACTTCATTGAACTAGACCAATGACCACCTCGATGTTCAAGTATACGTACAGATCCGAGTAACCAGGCATCCCCTCCACGCACAATCTCCACGCCATTCCCAGACAAGATCAAAACACAAAGAAGTTCTCATCAATGAAACAGAAAAACCTGACATAGCCAACCATTCTGAAATCAGATTTGAGTTTGTTGCGAAAACCCAGTCGTTGTCATGAGAAGACACAACGATCGAACCTGGAACTTCTCTAACAAGAGAACCCAGAAGAAATATGATGTTCGCCAAACACCAACGTCCATCATCCATCCTTTGAATTACAGAAAGACTATTCTAAAAAAACTCTGTAAAACCCGTATGGGTGGAACCTGATCTAAACTACATTTTATGATTGGATAAATTAGATATTTTACCAATGTAAAGTATTTAATATTAACCAATCATGATCCATCTGACTAACAAACCACTTATTTGTAAGTGCTGAAATTACTTGTAATTTCAGCACCAGAGAGATTTGAATTTAACTTAGAAGTTAGTTGAACTCTCCCGAGTACTTCAGCAGCCGCAATAAACCAGTATACCCTAGATCTATTGAGCCTAGCAGAGACTAGTTAAACAACCTGAGACTAGATAGTATAAGAGTAAGATTAGGATCGGTATTAGACTAAGAAGTTGCACGAATCTATCCGGCCGAAAATAAGATAGCGTGACGCGCAGACGGTGTACCCTATCCGAAATTACTCTATGAGTTATACACTTCGGTCATAACTCAATCGGGACTTAATCAGCTCATCGTCATACTTTGATATTCCTTTTTATTTAGTGGCAAAGATTGACGACTCAAGTGCATAACCTGTTCAATTTTCCAACTATGGTATCCCTGAGCAGAGTAACAAGAAATTAAAGTCCCACCCGAGTAGGACTATTGTTTTATAAGATGACTTTATTTTGCTGCCTGACAAGAGGCAAGAGTGATTCTTTTTGCGAGCGATGATTCTTTCCAGAACATTTTATTCGATGTGCTTCACTTTGGCTGGTTTGGGTGGTAAAATTATTGTTCCGACTTTCGATACGAAAGTAACGGAATATTTGTGCTCGGGGTGGGTTTTTTTTCTTCAGACAAGTTTCGACTTTTCAACTAGCCATTTTTGACGGAATTTTGTTTATATTATTCGAAAGGTATTGCTCCCCTGAGCTTAAATTTGAAAATATATTTCACCTGTGATCATTTTTCGTAAACTTATGGGGGTTTAAAGATAGCCATTTTGGCCAATTTGGGACAATTAACGCGCGATGTATTTCGCGCTATTAACGCGTAAGCGGAGAGTTAACCCGCCTTAGAAATCTTTCCAAATTGGTTGAAGTGAGGTTATTTGCCATAATTGATTTGTTACAAGGAACGAAATCTATCCTTTTGTACTTAATATGGCGTGTGGGGGGATGATTTTCATAAAAAATTTCAAATTTTCGAAAAAAAAATCATTGAATTTTATTACATTTAATTTTTGGCTCTTTTCCAGTCCCCCCCCCCCCACCTTTCAAAATACCGAGTTTTATGTTTGTTTTACGTGTTATTACGGCTAAATGCGTGATGTTACGCAGTAAAGTATGAAGAACAAATCTGTTCACAGTTGTCGATTTGTTCACCACGCCAAATTTCATTGCATTGTGACAACGTTAAATAAACTTTTCAAAGTTGAATTTGAGAGGGGGGGGGGACTGGAAAAGAGCCAAATTTTTTAATGTTATTACTGCTCCATTAACCTTAAAATGCAGTCAGACCATTCAGGGTTTCGCCCTGATACGAGCAGTCTCGTTTGACTTAGCAACCGCAAAGCACCTCACCTGAAAATAGTTTCATTTCTATTTTCAGTATAAAAATAGGGATTTGACTGATGATTTTAATAATGAAATAAAAATGTGAGCAGCCACCTTTCCCTTTTTGGGCGCGGCTGATTTGGCGCTCTTTTTGCCCTTCTTGCCGCCTGCGCCCTTCTTCTTGTTCTTCCTGTCTTTGAGCTTCTTCAACTCCTTCCCGTCCACCGGCATCTTGGCAAACTTCACTTCATCCTCCCGATGGAAGATGGCACAGTAGGCTGCAAAACACACTTCATGTAACCACCGCCTCCCCCAAAAATGGACGTAGCTTTGTTTTGAACAAAACAACTCGCTCTCCTATGTACACGCTCTCCTGTGAACTTAGCCCATTAGAGAGTCGATAAACGTTACTAGGTGTCACAGAGGGAGGAGGGGGAGTTCCAGATGCAAATTTTTCTCGAAAACAAGCGAGAAAACAGATGACGATAGTTTGATATTAAAGTAATTTCTTCGAAATGCAGTCGGAAAACTAGGCCAAGTTCTCAAATAAAAACATTTACAGCTCTGACCAATTTTATTGCCACGATAAAGCTCAAAACTTAACCGAAAGTATGTCTGTGCGTCTGTAATCTCAATCATTGCTAGCAATAGGGGAAAGACTATTTGATGTTGGAATGGCATCGAAAGACGAGCAGTGAATTCTAATTTTAAATCCACGAACAATATCTTTGATAAGTTCTCAGACTAAAACGATTTTGTTCCGTACTTTCGTAACGAAAGTAACGGAATATTTGTGCTCAGGGTGTGTTTTTTTCTTCAGACAAATTTCGACTTTTTAACTAGCCATTTTTGACGGGATTTTTTAAATAGCATTTGAAAGCTATTGCTGTCCTGGGCTTAATTTCAAAAGATATTTCACCTGTGATCCTTTTTCGTAAAGTTATGCGGGTTTAAATATTGCCATTTTGGCCAATTTGAGACAACTATGGCGCGATTTTTTTCGCGCTATTAACGCGTAACGAGATCTAATCCGCCTTAAAAATCGTTCCAAATTGGTTCAAGGAAGCTTATATGCAATAATTGATTTGTTAATAGGAGCAAAATTTACATATATTTGTACAAAATATGACGTGTGGGGGGATGTTTTCACAAAAAATCTCAAGTTTTGATTTAAAATCATTACGAGACCAAAATCATTACTGTGCATTCTGTGCATTGTAAGCGGATTCCGCAACAGGCCAAAATCAGATTTGTCGCGGAATCCGCAACTTTATTTCTTTTCTCTGATCTTCTTCGCTGCTTTGGATTCCACAAACAAATATCTAAAACAAAATACCGCTCAAAACCGCTCCAAATATAGGCATTTTTGCGGAATCCGTAACCGTATTTGCGGAATCCAGAACAGTTTGTGGAATCCACAAACAAATAATAAGACATTTCTGAAATTAAATTGAGCTGTTGTGGGTTCCGCAACTGTAAGCGGAATCCGCAAATTTCAAGTTGAATCCGCATTGTGTTTGCGGATTCCGTTTACAAAGTGTAAATGTATAGTATAGCGTTTAAAGTTATATATTTTGTTTACTAGATGGTCACCAGAAAAATCAATCTCAATTACTGCATTGATCAACAACCAGTTGAAATACCTATCCTTTGGTCTCAATTCCTGCCAATCCAACTTCGATCTCAACTTTAATCTCAATTCACTAGAATCGGAATCTACTAGATCATCAGTATTTGGAATTTTTGCAATCCCAAATACTGACCTAAATTGGCGATATGCTGAGTGTTGTGTTCTCATAAACTCTCAACCCAATGACTAAAAATATTGAAATTATTCGACGTTATGCTTCCAAAATCAGTTTTTGGGGTTGACGCAATCTCAAATAGCGACCTAATTGGGATATGTCTTTCCATATATGCTCCACTTAATGACTCCAATTATAGAATTTGTTTGCTGTTGTGGTTCCAAAATACTAAAAGGTGACATCCACCGATTTAGTTAACAAATGTTTTGAGATTTGTTGGTGGATTCCGCTGTTAATGGTAAAGTCCTTGCCTTTAAATTTTGCATCACTATAGTTAAGAACTCCAGCTCTAGCTTTTAATTGTTCATATGCAGGTTCAGTAATAAACAAAATTCTGAATCCACTTACAGTTTGCAGATTCCGCTTACAAATTTTGCGGATTCCTTACTTTTGCTGATTCCACTTACATTGCGTGGAATCCACTTACAGTTGCAGAATCCAGAACAATCTAAAAACTGGTCTAATGCCTGGTCTAATGTTTCAACTATATTGGCATGTTGCGGAATCCGACGAAATTTACGTTACAGGTATTTGTACGAGGAATCCACGGAAGTTTTGTAAGTGGAATCCACTTACATTTTGGAACATGTTTAAAGGTTTGTCTGTGAAATCCAGGAACATATAGACACAAAATTGTGCGCCTATACAGTGCACAGTTTGGCCTCATAATGATTTTCAATTATATTTTGTTGCATTTAAATTTTTCATGCTATTACTGCTCCATAGACCTTTAATACGAGCAGTCTTGTTAAGTTTGCTTTGTTTTTTTCTCAATCATGACTACTTTTCCCTGATGTCAGAGTCATTTCTTGTAAAGATATCTAATGTTTGTTTGAATATGTAGAAGAAGAAGTGTCTCACCACAGATGTAGTAGAACTGGGTGGGCTGCCAGTCCAGATGGTAGAGACAGAGCTGGCTGGGCTGTGTGAACTCTGGCTGTTTGGGGTACTTGAATCTCGGCACATTCTGGTAAGTCTTCTCTGTGCAGCCGGGGAAGAAGTAGCAGCCCTCGGGGTCCTTCGCTGCCGGCGCCTTCTTCTTCTTCTTAGGCGCCACCCTGAACCAACACAACACATCAACACTTGTTATTGCGAAAGAAAATGAAACATTAGAAAAGGCTAACATTCTCCTCCCTAAAATGATGGTAGATAGTTTTCGCCAAGCTTGTTTTCGTGATCCCAAAATTATGGTCCGAACAGAGTTTTATGAAGCGGACAAAAAAAAGAAAGAACCTATTTCGGTTGCATTGATCGCCATAGTCTAAAAAATGACCACGATAGGCTGAAAATCAGTCGCGATGTCTGTAATTCAGTCTCGAGCTAAATTAATAGTTATAGTTAAAAAATTAATTCCAAGATTTTTAGGACGAGCGCTTTGAAAACCAATTTTCTTTTGCTGTGGTCACATTTTCTTCAGCTGCAGACATTTTAATTTCTTAGTCGCGCCGGTCGCGAGTGCAGTTAACATGGTCGTCGAAAACTTTTATTGCGTCGAACTGGTTAAGAAAACCAATTTTTCGGTGAATTCAGTAGATGAAAAAAAATCCCATGCTAAATTTATCCAGTGGCGTTACTTTTACTTCGGTCGTATACAGCTTTTCATTGCTCGCGCCACTTTTCTTCTGTTGTGTATTATTTGAGCCAAGAACCGTCAACTTTGAAACCGTTTATGAAACATGAGTTTTGGTGCTTAGTGTTTCAATTTTTTAGGTACAGGAGGTGAAAACGATACATGTCAACACTATACAAGTTTTAGTTTATAGTTTTTTCTAAAGAAAATTTTTCATCGAAGGAGCGCCAATTTGAGCAAGCGCCGAAGGTAATTCAACCTGTTGAAGCACCGTTGAGAACTTTCCATTAAATACTGCCTTCTATGGACCTGATTGATTAATCTATGTGCCATTTAATCAGAAAAAAAATAGATTCACGAAAAAACTGAAAGTTTGAATTCTTATAGTTCATTTATCTTTCATTTTATTAAAATATTTAAGAAAATAAGGAATTTATACGCGTTAAAATAAGAAAAAAAATTCAGACTGGAAAAATTATTTCTTATTTTAATTGCTTTATTTCAATTTATACGAAAGTACTCTTTCGGGTGTACGCGTTATGATGCAGTGATTTACCAAAGCAATTCGTTGAAGTAGCCGCAATCAGCTAAAATAAGTATCTCTGATTTTATGCATTAGGTTGTCTATAGACAGTTTAGGCTCAATTAAAACTTCTTTTAGTTAGCTAACTAATTTTTAAGGATCAAAAAAAAGATTAGATTGTCTACTGTTTCCTCTACACTGACATTTTTTGCTAACGAACTTCAATTTACAGTACAACCATTAATTGAACCATGTTGTGTTCGCAATTGGGCGGTGACCTCGCATCGCCGTTGGAGAAGCAGAAGAGCCATAAAAAGGCTTTCCGATAGATTACAAAATGGTCGCATGTCGTTTTTATTTTGCTTTATTGTGCTTTCATAAATTACACATCATTAAAGGTGTTAAAAGTTATATTTTACAAAACTTTTTTTCATGCATATAACGGTTTTTGGAGAAATTGCGAGAAAAATTTTTTGATCAGTTTTAGCAATGATTTCATTTTAATTTCTCGAGATTGATGATCCAAGTTTCATTCAAATTTTATCACAAGGTAGACTTTTAAAAGTCTTAAATCTGTTAGTTTTTGCCATTTTAAAAATAATTTGAGAAAATCCATTTTAGAATCTAGAGAAGAAAAAAGATGCAAAAAATCGAAAGATTGCTGTCTAGTTAACACAGTAAGTTTCGGTCTCTTTTTTTATTTTCAAAATTTTATTTTCGAGAAAGTAAACAAAAGTTTTCAAAAACTAGTTTTACTGCAATAAAGCCATTTTTTCACGGACTACGTTGATTTATAAGACAACTACTATAAGCCTGTTAAAAACTTAATATATTCGCTTTGTTCGCTCGAAAAGTGGCTACAGATCAATCAAAGTTTTTAAACTGGTTTTTCCACAGAGATAATTTTTTGAAAGTTTTTAGATGTCGTTTGCGTAAAGACTGAAAGAGTTTTAATATGATTTATTACTCGACCCGTTAGTGTGGTTATTTGTGATATATGATTTTGCCTGGAAAACATACCCGAAGACAAAGTTCTTCCCTTTTTCAGTGGTCAAAACAAAAGCTAAATCACACCCGAACACTAATCTCCTCGCCTTTTTGAAGGGTCGGAGCAGAAAATGAAATATGCCAGAAGTCAGAGTTCCTTCCCATTTTCATCATTTAGGATGTCAGTCTCAAATAAAAAAGATGAATTTGAAAACAAAAAATCACCTGAAATACTCAAGTTCTGTCTTTTAGATTGGATTGGGTTGGGTTTCTTCCAGCCACGAACAAGTAAACTTGTATGTAAAAGAGACTAATGAATGATTAACCAAACGAATATCGTGTTAAGTAAAAAATTAACATAACTTTTGACAACGCATTAATGACTAAAAAGAACGTGCAACTAAGTTAGCACAGAATACTGATTTATTTTTTGGTTGCTTTATACTTACTCGAATTTAAAAACTGTTCTGGTCGCAGTTCAATTTGACAATTTGAGTTGGTATGTTTTCAGTCTTGTATTACTCTTTAAATTTTACTTGTCGGATAATTGTTTTTCGAAGCAGAACCCCTGAATTAGGTGAAAAACAAACATTTTTGGAGAAGGTGCTTGGGCAATTTTTGGAAAATTTTGGCGCGTCGGGCTCCCCTGATGCTTAATATAAAACTGACAATTACTTACTTTGAGCCTGGTAGTGAGGTTTTTGAATTCATCATTTATTAAATTTAGAAAAATTGGCTGAACGGGTAATGGCAAAAGCTTTGAGCAGCTGTGTTTTTACTACCATAAGTTTGCAGTAGAAACAGACGATTCTATGGAACGTGTAAATAATACATGTTGAAACCTAATCTATTTTTAATTAGGTTTGCTCAGAATGGACAGTAGCCAGACTACTTCATCTGGTTCACACAACAGAAAAGGCCAAATGACGAACATAAATGGCACTGAAAGGAGGATAGAAACATCAAAAGAACCAACCACTCCGGTCAAAGTTAGTCAGCCCCACATTATCCACATCAAACAAATAAATCAAATTCTCAACTTTTTAGTCAGAATGGCAATTATTTGGCGAGCTTTGAAGTCACATCTGAAAAAAATTATTACACTTTAAATTCTTGAATAAAATTTTTGTTGATGAAACACGTCTTATTCTACACCATGAGTTAATTTTCGTTCATTTCAGAATTAACAATTGCGCATAAGTTTATTAGCAAACAAGTTGGAACCGCGAGTTGGTTCATTTCAGTTGTCACCATCCAGTTCAGTGTTGACAGAAGAACAGTTGGCCCACACGAGAAGGGTGTTCCATTTCCTGGACATGGACAAGAACGGGGAGATTGACGGGGCTGATCTGCAGCTGAGCAGCTCCCTCCTCGGTCACAAGGTAGAACAACACTCAATAACTGAACAACCTCTTTTTTCAGAACACTTTTTCACACTTCAGTTAACATTTAAGTGGTTTAATTAATTTCCTTTCTAGGAAAACTGTGTTGAACAGAAGATATTTCAGGCTTCGTGTTCATCGTAAAATTCATGTAAAACTTTTGTCTGTTTGTGAAAGTAAAGAAATATAATTTTCCTGCTTTAATTCAAATTTGATTTTGTCAAATGATTGACTTTTGAGATGTGATGTTTTCAGCTGTGGGACAGTGAGATTGAGTGCATGCTCACGGAGTGCACTCTCGATCAACCACCCTCACCTAGTGCACGCTCTCATCGCACATCAACATCATCAGCAACAACACCGACAGCAGTCAATTTAGACCAGTTCACTTCTTCTGTGGGATGTAAAGTACACCAGCTGGACTCTAGAGAAGTGTTGGAAGCTGCATTCCAAAACGCAATTTCACAGAATTCTCTCAATGGTAAGCAACTCTTAATCCCTGTTAAGTTCAATTCACTTTTTCACCCTCCCGTTTTTGCCTACTTATCATGCATGCGCCTTGCATGCTTCTTCAAACAGTCTAATTTAAAACAATCTGAAAAAAACTCCCAAAAAATCTACCAATACCCAAAAAATAAAATTCCGAAGAATAACAATCCGAAAAAGAGTACCTTTGACTGTGTTAGATGATAAGCAACTTATAAGCGGGATAAACAGGATTCGTCAAGAAAGTATACCAAGGAACCAACTTCATCATTTACTGGCTTTGAACAACCAGGCTTTAAAAAAGATACATGATGTAGAAATTATTCCGTTGCAATCATCTCTTTCCAAATATGAAAAGAAAACATATTTGCATCGTTTCAGGTTTTGATTTTTTCTATTGATGTGCTTTGTCAAAGACTGTTTTCATCAGCTTGGAACGTTTTGTATAATTTTGTCCAAAAGATAAATCAAAAAGAATGATTATCAATATTAAAGTTTTTCGGTCAAGTAGTTGGTAAAAAAAACAGGACAGGAAGCATTTCTGGTTTTATATTGAGCAGCCTTTTTTGTAAATCGAAAAAAGCCGCAGTTTCTGTATCTAGATCAACTGAGTGTGGCGTTTGTGAAGCGACTATTGTGTGAGAGTGCTCCCCCCGAGAGCAGACTGAGTGAGGGGGAGTGGGGGCAGATGGTGAGACACATTCCAGAGTGCATAGACACATCACACCACACTGGACACTTCAGCCCACACAGTCTGATAGAGACACTCACGAAACACATGTGAAATGAGCAGGCAATAATCAATAAATAAACAATTGGAGAGACTCAATCACAAACTCAAATCCCAACCAATCTGCAATGCCATATGCCATTTATACAATTTTTTTTATTAAGATTAGCTGTAATAAAACAGTTGTATCGAAATATTTAGGTAATTTCTAAAACCACAATCCTTTGCATACATCAGATTGTTTTTAGCAAAATTTATGATAGTTATCGAAAGAATTAAGAGGCCATAGCTCGACAAGATATTCGTGAGGAGCGGTTTTCAAATTTTCGAAGTTTGGTTTCAAACTTGATTCGATTCAGAGCAACACTGAACGGTTAAGAGCAGGGGCGGGCTCTTTTCCACTTTCCCCCCTACCTTTCAAAATATCGATTTTTATGTTTGTTTTACGTGTTATTACGGCTAAATGCGTGACGTTACGCTGTAAAGTATGAAGAACAAATCTGTTCATAATTGTCAATTTGTTCACCATGCCAATTTTCATTGCATTATGACAACGTTAAATAAGGTTTTCAAAAATGAATTTGAAAGGGGGGGAACTGGAAAAGAGCCCAGGGGCGGATCTAGGATTTTCTCGAGGGGGGGGGGCGGATTTTCAAAAAATTTTCCAAAATTTTGACGACCTTTTTTTTTTTTTTAGGTCGACCAAATTGATTTTTCGAGCTCTCCCAAAGCACTGTTTTGCCCCTACTTTGGCTAAATTTTCTGCGCCGCAGTTAAATTTTTGAAAAAAAAACAGTCAGAAAAGCCGTTTTCGGGCAATTTTTGAAAAATTTGACAAAAAAATCGCGTTTTTTTGGCGCGCGCTCCCCCTCAAAGTTAGTATATATTGGTTGGCGCCAAAGGCGCCTTTAGAAAAATTTTAGGGTCGGTCGGCCAAAAATGGATTTCTGAAAAAGTATCAAAGGGGGGACCCTTTGGGTCGGCAGGGGGTCGAATCCGCCCCTGGTTAAGAGTGTTTTGGCGGTGTTCCACTCGGGCATTTATTAAATGTAATAGCCTAGCTAAGTTTAAAAACAAAACAAAAAATTACCTAGAGAAAGCAACTTAAGGCTCTTCCAACCTTCAAAGAAAACCTAGATATTTCAATTTTTTCCGAGTTTTCTTTCTGTTATTTTAAACTTTTTTATTGTCCATGACTTCCTGACCTTTTTGACAATTTCTGTATTTCAAGACGACTTTTGATACGTCCCTTGAAAATGGGGAGGAACTTTGCATTTGGGTGTGTTTTAGTTTCTTATATTTCTTACAATAACAGAGGTACCACAAATAATTATCGGAATGGGTTCAGTGATATACCAAAGTGAAGCCCTCTCAGTCGTGATTTGGCTCTTTTTCCTTTTCCCCCCCACCTGCTAATTTTATTATTTGAAATTACTAATCACTTTGACCGATTGTCATGAAAATTGACATGCAGACTAATTCGGCCATGACAAACATATTTAATCTTCATGATTAACCTCGTAAAACCACTCGTTAGACCATAAAATTCATGTGTGAGGTGGGGGGGGGGGGAAAGAGCCCGTGATTTGAGCGACATTATAACACTTTCAAAAACTGCCCCTGTGTCGAGATAATTTTTAAATTCTTTTTAATGAATTTGGTCGGAACATTCTGAGCTATTGGCACAGCAACCGGCTAGTCTTGTTTATATTTGCAGACATTTGCGACACAATTTGGCATATGGCGGAGACGGCGTGACCAGACTAACGACCGATATAACTCTGATGAAAAAACACCCTGCCTAAGTGTTCCTAACCGCTTTGAGAGTGGTCGATCCAAAAATGTTCTCCGACAGCGCGTGCCCTAATCAGGCCGCAATTGTTCTGGATTTATAAAGACATCACTGAATTGAAACAAACCAAGTCTTCTGACTTCGCTCTATGATGGGTTAGAAGTAATAAAGGGTTCCCTCATTTTGAACTCTAAACTTTAGCAGCATACTATTTCACTACGTACTTTTGTTACCTAAGCCATTTTTAATTTTTAAATACGAATTTAGGAAGCTTAATTTAGTTTGTATAACTGAGTTAGGATAGTGGCTTAAAAATAGGAAAAAATTTATTGAGGATATTAATTGATTAGTAGTGAAATGACTTGATAGTAAAATGTACTGTTGTGACAAAAAGTTTCAAACAAAAATGAATAGAGTCGAGATAGGGGCTTCGGTCAAGCACAATCTCAAAACATGGCATAGTGCTCTGCAAAGCAACTGAACGACGTTGGATGTTTAGCAAAGCCGAAATGTTATAAACATTATTTTTCCAAAGGAACGAAGATTGTATTGACGCAGGGCGCCTACTTGTTTTTTTGTGCTTTTTCCTGATATGGCCAGCAACCTTCCGAGTTTTTTCGGATATAATTTAATTGCTTCCACGTCAAAGCGCCAGTTTAGAAGCGTCAATTAGTCAAATATTAATTTTTTCATTATAATTGTTTTATTTGTCATACAGAATTCCCTTGCATGAGGACAATGTCGAGTTAATTTTCATTATTGATACTCAAATGGAAAGAATGCAAAATAAATCAAAACTTCAAAGGAAAACAATGCAAATTTTCAAAAAAAACGGGTCGAACTTTGATGGTACGCAACTTGATGGCTTCTATGACTTTAGGTCAATCAATTGGAAGTTCGAAACAACAAGAAAGTATTCAACCTTTCCTTGCTCTTTTGTAGGGTGATGTCTCACTCACAAAAACTATTTTTCAATACATAAAAATTAGACCCTTTATTTGCAGACAATTAAAACCTAAAAACAAAACTGGCTCATTGAAATCCAATGTCCTAATTGACCAATTAGATTTGTTGAAAATGCGCTACCAGTACTGCATTGAACACGTTTGTTTGTTGTACGATTTTTTGACTGGCATAATTTCTACTACGAAATCAAAAAATTTGAGCAAAAAAATTTTCAGTTATTTGGTTTACAAAAGTGACTTGTAGCGATGCTTTTTTCTCGCTGTTTTTTGCAAAATTAATCTAGACACTTTTTTAATCATTTTTTAAGTTCATGCAGCAAAAAAGTATAACACTGCAAAAATTTTACCCTATATATTCATTATTTTTTTTAAATCTTAACTTCATTTTTTAAATTTCAACAACTTTTTTAAAAAAATTCATAATGTAATATTTCAAAAAAACCATATTATCAAAATGCGCGAGCGTTTGGAGTTCTAAAATTAGGGATTACGTTCGGAAAAACATAAAAAACGTTTTATAACTTATTTTGTTCTCCTTCACTTAGTGATAAATGAAGTATTGAGAAAGTGATGGATTCATAATGGAATAATAGATATTATTATTTTTTGAAATGATAGTTTGACACATTGTTAGATTTTCTTAATTGTCTTTGAAACTTGTTCGTTTCTCCAAAACACAAATTAATTTTCCTTGGCTAATTTTCCAGGTCTTTTTACTTTTTTCGCCCAAAAAAAACTTCAACGTCTTGAATTGAAACTATTTTGCTTCAATCTGATTGGCTAGAAATAGCCAATCAATTTCCAGAGCACCATGTCAAACTGTTTTGCTTACAATTGTAAATCGATTTATAAACAACCCGAATCGGCAAACTATAGAATGTTTGATATATTGCTCAAATTTATTGCAAATTAGCTGCAGAATTTTACCCAAAACAGAGAAAAACCCACAAAAATAGCTCCAGGAAAAAAATCGCCTTCTTAACATCTACTATAAAATCGGCCTTCGTAGAAACTGGCTGACAAAAGTGATCGAATCAGCATTAACCAAACTAATCCGTGCGATCAATGACTCGTCCTTTGCATTTGTACATTAATTCTTACAAAATCGCGAAATTGAAAATTTTGGGCGGAAAAAGTAAAAGACCTAATTTTCAAAACATGAAGACAAATGATTGCTAGCAAATTTTTCGATTTTTGTATTCGATTATGTTTTAATTTTTTTGTTGCTTTTTGTTTTCCACATAAAGTCAGGTAGCACAAACAATGATCAGACTGGGTTGAGTTCAATATCATAAAAAGCCCTTTTGGTCGTGATCCTAACCACCTTTAAAAAATTCAAAACAATTTTCACGGTGTCTAGAAAAACCGGTTCGGTTTTTTTTTGTTTTTGGTCTAATTTCAAGCTAATAAGGTGACCGGGTACGCTTACAATAGCTTATTGAGGTTTAATTTTAGAATTGAAAACCTAGTTTTATTCAAGTAAAGAAAGATTTTGGAGTTTTTAGCATAATTTTTAGAATCAAAAACATGAAAATTCAAAAAATTTCCTCAAAATAAACTTGAAAAAACGTTTGAATTTTTTAAGAATTTTTAAAATGTTCTGTTTGTTTTTCTGGTGCTCAAAAACTGTTTTCCAAGATTACATATTTTACTTGAACTCCCAAACATGCCTAAATTCTATTGTTTTGCTCAGATATTATTATCACCACATGCAGAAAAAAAACGACACGAATTTGAAAAAAATTGTCGTGTTTTTTTTGAGACTGTAGTCGGAACATCCTGTGTTACGTGCACTGTAATTAAGTGTTCTTGTTTAATTTTTGATTTGATTGATTTTCTTAATTGCGATTAACATCTGCTATCAAATCAAGTTCTAGGTTTTTGTTGGCAACTTCTCTCACCGCACATTCCGCAGTTACCGCAGTTTGTAAGTGACTTTAAAAAATTTTCTGCGTTATTCGATGTTTCTGGCCCTTGCCAAAAAAGCGATGAAAAGTATGATCAGCATGATAATAATCAATTGTTTTCCGGCAATTTCATTGTGGGTAGTTCAAAACTTTACAAGCAGTCCAACAATTTTACTGCCATTTTACTGCCCATTTGTACATTAGTTCTTACAAAATCGCAAAATTGAAAATTTTGGGCGGAAAAGTAAAAAACCTAATTTTCAAAACATGAAAACAAATGGTTGCTAGCAAATTTTTCTGTTTTTGTATTCGATTATATTTTAATTTTTTTGTTGCTTTTTGTTTTCCACATAAAGTCAGGTAGCACAAACAATGATCAGACTGGATTGAGTTCTATATCATAAAAAGCCCTTTTGGTCGTGATCCTAACCACCTTTAAAAAATTCAAAACAATTTTCACGGTGTCTAGAAAAACCGGTTCAATTTTTTTTGTTTTTGGTCTAATTTCAAGCTAATAAGGTGACCGGGTACGGTTACAATAGCTTAT